GAGGGGTTGAAAATGGTAATGGGGATGCTGGGAGATGAAGGAGGAGAAAATCGCACGGATATTCTCGAGAAACGCGTTCGATATAATAAATGTATTTGTATAAGTGTGAGCCGTGTGTGTCGGTACGATATAAAAATGAAAAAAATAAACAAATACTACGATTTCGTATAACAGTAATCAATCCGATCCCAATATGGTCGAGATTATAAAAATCGACCAACGATGAGGAATATGTGAACGACGTAATTCGAAATAACGAATTAAAGTAAAAATTGTATTAGCCATTTTAGGCCTGATTGCCAAATATTAGGATGAGAGATAAAGAAAGAGAAAATGAAAGAGAAAGAAGAGAATCCCGACGTCAGTGGATTTATGTATTATGTACTATGTGTGTATGTATATGTATTAACAAACTACATATACATACAACATTACATAAAATTATGCGCGCGCTTTAATGAGCGAGGGTTTAAAAAAGTATTCTGTATAAAAGCACTAATAATAATTAATTAATTAATTAATAATAATAATAATAATAATAATAATATGCTGGAACTTATATATATTATTATTATTATATATATATATATATATATATTGTAACCCAATTGTTGTCTACGATATAATGTTATTTTTCTAATTCATATTCAATTGTTATTGTTGAGAGAGAGAAAGAAAGAGAGAGAGAAAAAAGAAAGAAAGAAAGAAAGAATGTGAATGTTGTGTATGTCAAAGAAAGAGAGAAATTGTGAATGCTTTTGTGACGAGAATCTCTCAATTTGAGTGAGTCTGTTAGTGAGAAGCAAAAAAAGCGAAAAAAGTAAACGAAAATAACATCGAATTTCAATTACGTATAAATCTTTAAATACAGATAGTATTCAATTTTTACGTTGTTAAAAGAAAAATAAAAAAAATGTGGAGGGAGCTTTTCTATTTAGATAACCATCTCGAAATATATATAAAAAAAATTATTATACAATTATTCTAAATTATTGGCAAATTGATCGATCATTTTCTAATGGACAAATAATCCATTATTTGTCCCCGTTTATTTTTCTTTTATTAAAAGAAAAATAATAATAATAATATAAGATTTGAGAAAAGAAATAAGAAACGATTCGTAAGAAGGCCACGCGAATGATGATTATTATTATTTTTATTATTTAAAAAAAAAGTAAAAAAAAAAAAAAAGAAATAGACAAAGCATTTTTTGTTCTCGCGTTTTATTCGAAGGAAAAATTCATAAATAAATATACTTATACTTGTAAAATTATTCGTTGAAATAAAGTGATATACATATAAAAAAGACTTCGAGAACTAAGAAAAAAAAAATAGGGAGAGAGAGAGAGAGAGAAAGAGAGAGAAAGGAAAGGGAAAATAAATAATAATCGCGAATAAATTGGTACCTCGGTATTTCGATAGCGTCGCGGGCGCCGTATTGTATTTTTTGTAAGGCTCGTTTTGCCAGATTGTGATAGCCAAGTTCACGACTCCGTCGAAAATAGCCGAAGTAACCAAGGTCGCGAGAATGATTAATAATTATTAAAAAGAATTTGAAAAACAAGAAACAAAAAAAAAAACAACAACTTGAACGGGTGGGTGGACGAATAGAAGAAAAAAAAAAAAAATGGCAAAGGAACCGCTCGTGTCGAAAAATCCGATAAGAATATTTTCATTTCTTTTTAAAAAAATTAAAACTCGCATCTTACATATTATGTTTATATATCTACACATATAAATATATATATATATGTAATATTTGTTTGTTATATTATTTATATTGTATCGTTGTTATTGTTTGTATTATTAATTTTATATCTTTCTTTTTTGTAATTTTAATTTTAAATTCATTTCCCACAAAGAGAATAATAAGAGAGAGAAGAGACTTAGTATATAGAATATTTATTTAAAAATTAAAATAGCGAATCAATTATATCTAACAAACGATTAATATATTTTCGCGAATCGTTGAAACCATTATCGTTCGGCCTAAACTCTTATAGCGCTTCACAATTATCCTAATTTAAATAATAATGATGGATTCCTTCGAATCGTTTTCTCGTCGTATAATTCAATATATATACAAAAAAAAAAAAAAAAGAAAGAAAAGAAAAGAAAATTTGAGATAAGTAAAATTTTAAAAAAGAAATGAAAATCCGCCAACTTCCGTTTTAAAATTTTGGTTGAAATTATCTAAGGTTTGCAATGGAGTGTAATAACGTCTAATGTATGCGTGTATGTACGTACGTATGTATGTTTTATGGATTGTGCATGTGCGTGTGTGCGTACGCACGCGCTCGTATTAATTGTTGAAAAAATCTGGTATCCGCGATGCCAAAGATATATATTATAAGTCATATGTAATAAAAAAAAAAAAAAGAAAGAAAGAAAAAGAAAACAGGAAAAAAAATAACTCATGGTAAGATAATTATGAATATATAAACGTCAATGATATATTATAACGATGAACTTGCTGGTGATAATCGTTATTGCTATCTCGTAACGTTTAATGTATATCAGTGTCTCGTGCAAAGTAATAAAAGAAAAAAAAAGGAAACAAAAAAATAATGTGAGCGCAGCAGAGCTCCTCGGTGTTGTGGGTATACATACTCGTTCCTAGCAACTCGTATGACAATTACTATTCGATAACTACTCGTAAACATTGCATTGAATCTAACTCTTATTCTACGTACTTTAAAAAGATAAATAAATACACATTCTGTCCAATCTCATATATATATATATAT